GGTATTTTCTATTTCCGTAGGGATCAGTAATAACTGAGGAATTATGGTTGTCGAAAAGGGGACGAAACACGAGAAATATGGCAGAGAAAGAAACGTGGAATAACCTGAAGTTGTCAGGTCTTTCGCGTGAGTGTGGTAGGTTAATCATCCAAAGACAAGAACAACGTCGTCAACGGTGTGACGCGAGCTACCGCCAGGTGGAGCAGCATGACGACACTGTGAAGCTAATGGAGCTATTGGGGCAGCTATTTACTCCAACGAGACTAGCGTCGCTGAATAGCCTGATATTAGCCCCACCCAGCAGCTTGTCAATTCCGAGCTTACCCTTTGTAGAGACGTATGTTACGAAGTACAGTATGTATTTCATGAATTCTTCCACATCCATTCCCGTTTCCATTTGCAGTCTAATTAATACTGTAATAAAGAAGAGCCAATCTAGTATCGCCGGCTACAGTAGGCAATATGTAAGGCACTGGAAAATCCAACGCATGCCAGGTAATAGGTTTCTATCTTATGTAAGTATATCTTAAGTAATCCGTAGACTGGTTACTGACAAATATCATACGTCATCTACGCAACAAAGGCTTGTGTACTAAATCATCATCGTAGGCATCACTTACCATCACCATGATGCCAGTTGTCGTCACCTCCTATGAAGCTTAGTGATGGCCATAACGCAGTCTTGTCGGTTGCTCCCGCGATATCCGAGCATCTTGATTGAGACCTCAATTTGGTTGGTGGAACATCTACCGACTTGCACGTACAACTAAATATACCATGAATGCTAGATAGCTGCTGGTTCGCTTACATAAGTGTCCAACTACCATCAATACATATCTAGTAGTACTACCTACGTATCAGGCTCCTATTGGTTTGAGACACTGTTTGAGGGCAACGAGACAAGGGGTTCAATAGCCACGATTTCAATCCAGTTCGATGTCAAGCTTTGCGAGTACCGGACCGTTACATTCGCGTGCTGTATGTACTGTAGCTTCCCTGGTTCGGACGCGCCGCCTCCTTGCCTCGACCTGTGTGATCTGTTGGGTCTTGCATCGAGTTGCACCGTTCATATGCGTGGCTTCGGAGGCCTGATGTTATTCATACTCGCTTTGTTATTTGCCCAAAGTTTACTTTGGGGACTTGTGGTGAACTCAAAATCTACGGGAAAGAATCGTCTAGATTGGCAAAGTGATGATCTATTAGAGCTTATTGTCCAGCGCAACAGCCAACAACACGAAGACTATATTAAGGCCACACAATCCACACGAGGTACAAACGCCAGGAGCTACACCAACGCCAGGAGTCACAGGAGCTTGAATTGATTGAATAGCTTGAAGGTATTCTTGGTACGTATTCGAGGTATTCGAGGTATCTAAAAGTTTGAAGAGATTGAAAAGGTTGAAGCGTTTGAGGTACTGCAGGAGATTAGATATAGGAGCACAATACCTCGTTTGAGGCTATTCGCAAGATCAACGGTAGGTCTTAAACTTTGAGCTTTTGTGCCACTGCAACGTAGTGGCATCCTGTGTTATATTCTTAAGGTTTAATAATGTTAATAAATCACTTAATTAATCCGTGCCTTATAATTACCTTTTACTTTTACCTAGAAAATGCGGTACCAGCTAAACATCTGAACCTTCACTCCACCACTAAACATCAGCGGGCGCTACACGGGTCGTTCCCTCACCTTCTCAAATCAGCAACGTTTTGTTTCTCCTGCTCTGCTGCCACTGAAATAGTCCATAGTTTCTTCATTCATTATCCTCTCTGCCACTCAATATTCCTCCCCAAAACACATTCACGACCAGGAGGCAGCTCGCACCAAGTACCCCTCCCCTTCAAGCAGACGTATCCTCCCGACCCCTAGAATTCAGACCTGTAGGTAGCGCGCTTTATCTCATTCGGATACAACACGATAATCTAATATCTCTTCCACAGATTTCAGTGCCCATGAAGCACCTCCAAAAGGACCACCATCAAAACAACCTCCGGGAGCCCAACGGTTCCTGTCCCATACAAGTGGGAGGTCTCGGCGGAGTCGATGCCAGTGATTTCTTAAAAGCCCTGCAACAGCGGCAGATACTTTGTTCCGATCCTGCCCAGGGAGCGGCCCCCGTCCGGTTTCCGATCATGGTGGTTGAAGGCAAAGCATACGCAACCGGCAAACCTGTCTTTGAGGCACAGAACCAAGCTGCTGTATCCGGAAGCTGCATGATCAAACTCCAGCACGATCTTGCCGATCTCACCAAAAGCGCCTCTGGTGGGTCCTATGCCAGCAAGGTACCTCTGGCCTTCTCTATATGTACCGAAGGACCCTACATAGAGCTCTGGGTGCACTACACTACATCGGAGGATAATGTTCGCATGTATAACATGAACATCTTGAAGATCTGCCACGCGTCCCTTCCGGAAGGTGTTGCCGAGTTTCTTATGGTGGTAGACAGCATGATGAGCTGGGCCAGTGTGGACTTTGTGAACGACATAGCAGAGCAACTGGTCTTGGTGGAGAGTGCTGGATGAGCTTAGCTTGCCACATAGTCAGGCGGTAAATCAATCCAAAAGATGGCGATTCCAACGAGCAAGGCTAGCTTCCGGGTGCGGCTTTTACCTACACTTTCTGCGGCTACAGGGGAAGCCTCGCAGCGCAGATCAATACAGGTCGCGCAATCTTCTGGCAACGGAGCTCCAAATTTGATGCTTGAGGGACAAATATATTACCTAAATGACGACGCGCCTCAAAATTTCCTTAGATACGGACATGGAGAAAAGGGGTGGGCACCAGAACCTTACTATATATGTAACGGTCACGAGTATGAGCTAAATGCAAGGGCAATTTGACCCTCAACACCAGGACTCTCTTTGGCCTCCATACCAGAGTCCGTTGTTGGCTCCCATCCAGCCTATTTGGAACCCGGCTCTGGTTGGGGTTGGTGTGGCCAAAATTAGCCGCTGACCACCGTCGCGAGGTCTAATTGGAGGAAGCCGAAACTATTTCTAGATTCGAAGTACTACAATTGCGAGTACATACATTGGCGAGGAGTAGAACAGTTGCGAGTAGATCGGGCTAGTACACTACACCCCAGAGTAATGGCGTCTAAAATACATCAACTTACTTTAAGGCAATGCAGACTGCTTTGGCTTGAAGTAGCGACGTGCGAAGTGTAGAACCCTAGTATAATTAATCCAAATCTCAAAGATATGGGAATGACAATATTAATAATAGAAGGTAGTGAATATTTATACTTTGCTAATACTGGAGCCGCCTTGAGCTGATTTGGAGCCTCTCAGCATCTCGCTTTAGCACAGATAGGGGTGATCAAAATGAACAGCAAGGTGAGGGAAGAGAACTTAAGAAGAGAACTGTAATGGAAGAACAAACGAAGAACAAGCACCGTGACCCTGTTCACAGCACTCCGAAAGCCGCCTCTCCTTTGAATATGACTCTGACTTAGTTACGACACCTGGGGGAGTTACAACAATAAGTGAGAGCCTTGCACGGACGAACACACTATTGGGCTTTAGACTTTCGGATGAACAGACTCGAGATGATTTAAACATCCTAAATCCTATTCCGCATTGTTTACTTTCCTCTTGCCATGTAAACAACCTGTTCTATAAATTCTCCATCATTCTCCAACTATCACTTATAACTCGTCGTGTTGGAATACATACCAACATACTTCTACACCTCCTATACTATCCCATCTCAGTCTCAACACACGACATCCATCCACTCACCCATCTATTCATCATCGTATCAACCAAGCGAAACAACACACACACACACACACGTACCAAAACAATACTAAACATACAAACAAACAAACCCAAACCATGCCCCTAGAAGCCGCCTTCGGACTCCTAGTCCTATTCTGGCTCATCATCGGCGCCCTCTGCTGCCTAGCCCTAGTCCTCGTAGCAAGCTTCGAGCACGAGCGGCTCCAGGCAGCCGTCGACCGCGCCTACCCGCAGGACCTTGAAGCCGGCCTGGGCAACGGCTTCCCCAACAACGACTACCAAGTCGATGGCTATTACGAAGCGCCCAACGAGAGGACCGCGCTCCTGCACCACTACCACCCCTACCGCTGCCTGCGTGCCCACCCGTACCCGCGCCGGTACTACGACTATGGGTACGACGCTGAGCACGAGGCGGCGTACGGGTACGGGTCTGATGGCCACGACTACTGGCCTGCGCAGAGGATGTCAAGGCCTGAGGGTTGGACCCGGGGCGAGTGTTATTAGGGGGTGTGGGTACCTGCCTGCCTACAACTTCCTATCTCCTTGTTGTCGTGTCTTACGCGATGAACCTGTGTACCAGTTCTATGGTTCTATGGTGTGGTGTGGTTTGTCTTGGTATGGGACCGCCGGGTATCGAGGAGCTTGGATCTGTGGTGGATTAGGAACATGGTACGTTTACGAACATTACTGACTAACTGAGGATTGAAGATCTGGGGTGTTGACGATGAAACTTAGGGAGATTACGTACTTATGTTTGGTTGTTGAATGGAACACTGTCGAAGCTGCTGCGCGAGTCTGTGGAGGTTGCGTGGAAGGCTTTGTAAAGGGGTACAGCTGAGGGATGTGACGGGGCACTGGCTGTCCGTACGGTTTTACATAGGGGGGATTCGAGGGGGCGTCAGAATGGCCCGCTGATAGGACGAACTTGAAGCATGAAGATATGAAGACGTATGGTTGAATTGGGGGTTTGGCTTGGTTTGTGTCGCATAATATGGATAGTCTATGGTAGTTGTCAGGTGTGGAAGTCGACGACTGGGCGCTCGGAGAGGGAAAGACAAGTTTTGGTATTGAGTCAGGTATGTTTTTTGACAGGTAGCAACATTAATTTAAGCTTATCTTGGACGTTGCTGTCGGGCCGGCAACCGCGTATGGCCTGGTCGTCGCCGACCTTGGGCAGGAGGTACAGAGGTACCTACCTGCCTCAGGTAAGTGAACATATAATGTCGAATTGTCCACCCTAATTTCAATCCAGCTAATGGGTTGCTTTGGTCAAATGGTTATGACTGGCACCTCTCACGACGAGGTGGTGGGTTCGAATCCCACTGTGTGCGCTACTTCCAATTTGGAAGCTGTTGGGTATGGTCGGATAACCTGTCTGTGAGCTTAGGCTATACGTAGTCTGTATTTGTCCAACGTCCTTCTGACCTACCTTAGGGGATCTGGGGATTGAGGGTTCTGGGGGCTGCTTTTTTTTCTATTCATCTTATTTTTCATTTTATTTTTCTTTTGTTGCTTCCTTAATCTACGTACATCTAATTATTACGAGTACTCTCCTACCCCCTTTCCTCTCTTTAGATTATTGATTACTGCATTCTTTTCTTTCGACTTTGCTGCGAATAGGGGGAGAAACGATACGAAAACATTTTCATGCTGGGACCTAAATCGTCGACTACGGATTTGCACGAGCAGTAATCGTTCTTATTCCACACTGAGCTCGCCAGTATACTGCAGGAATTATGTAGACGATATAATCAGATCTGTTGATCAAGATTTCCGTTTCTCGACGTATGACTTGGGTGATATGTGATTATGTTCGCGGCTGCGCAAGGGGACTTCCGCCATGGCTTTAAAGAGTGAGGATTCATGGACGACTCCTTTGGGAGGACATCTAGGACAATAACTGCGAGACATGATAGAGGTCAAATGGTTTATAGCTCTATATAAAATCTCTTGCTATTTCACTAGATTTCGAAGCCCAGAAGGTATCTGCGTGGCCAGACACGCAGATCGAGAACTTGCCCAATAGCAGAGCAAATGTCTGGCGTCCAAGTAGAAAACTCAACACATATAGTGCAGGCAACTATCATTCGAACTATTCCCACATTTGTCTTCCTATCCTTCTTTGTTGCGTTCGACCCCCTTATCAAGGACTCACTATGCAATGTGTGTAACACTGGACGTTCATCTACTCAACTGAATCAAAGAAACGCCTCGGCGTCCTCATAGAACCAAGGAACCAAGTAGAGCCCTGTAACAATGCGGCCGAATGGTAATACTTCGCTAGGGAGGTCAGAGTTTAGCGGCTCAGGCGACTTGCACATTCAGCAGCTCTCTTTGAACCTCAGGATTTATTTCATTCTACAAGGCAGCTAAGACTGGACAGCAGATAGGATTACTAGGCTATATTCAGATGATACGTCATAACAAAGATGATTATAACAGCTAGTAGATACCATGTGAGCTCTTCCATGATAATCCTGGAGCATCCACAACATGTATGCCGTACCAGCCGATGTTACAAGAAAGTGAGATGATTAGTGTAGCCAAACCACTCAGCATCAGCACGCGGACATGCACATTGAGTTGGAGATGATTGTACAGCATACAACTGCCTCGCTCATGATCTGGCTCACGCTCAAACGAAGAGGAAGTCGGGTGCGGCGTTCATGGTATCTGGGGTACAGGGGCTAGATTGTGGTCCGCGCTGCACAATCCGCCTAAGACCGGCCTAGACCACAAAGTCCGGGCGTCGAGATTGCTGGGGGAGGCAATGCCGTGGCTAACAGAAAGGTAAGCTGTAGGCTAGGCTCGCTATGCCATCAGATGTAAATCGTTCATGTAACGTGAATGGTGCGTTGAACCACGAGAGAGAGAAGATCGGTGAGAAGAGGTGTAAGTCAAGACTGCCTTTTCTCAACGCAGCCTAGCATCTTCGAATGTTATGACCTAGAACCTCTTAGTCATTGTGCCGAGCTGCCTGACCCTTAGCGTGCGATTGGTGGAATATACCACTTCCAGGAGCCTTCCACCAGGGGTCTTGTGTCGCCCGTGCATATTGGATGATGGCCCGGCCGAGTGAGGTCCGTAGCTTAGTTGGAACTCGGACGAGCGACGGGAATGAGACGGCCCCGTACAACAACATATCCTTGCGAGGAGTTAGTAGCCTTCTCATTCGCAAACGGAGAGCAATGTCGGGCCGACGGCTTACTTTTCCTAACGCGCAAACTCTTTCCCATTCTCATCGTGGTTGGGGGTTGTTGGTTCATGGAAAAATTTTTGTTAGACAGCTGTACACAGTTACACGTAGGCTCGGCCCCGTTCTTCTCTCGTCCATGGTTCTGGCGTTTTTGGGCCGACCGGAGCCGCAAGAGATTGGAATCTGCAGCGCATTACGAGGCGATGGACTGCACCGAATACATGGCGTAGACGCACACCCCCTCCCCTTTTCCACGCGAGCAGATCGTCAGATAGCTGTCAATCATCCTTGGCGGCCCCAGTTCTGCCAGTACATAGATTATGGGGCGCTGCTTCTGACAGGTTTGTACCGTGCAAGTATCTTCAACTCGTGGCAAAGTACCGGGTCGGGCCAGACTCTGGGTAAACTGGGTATGGAGGGTGTCTTTTGCGGCTGATGTGAGCCACAGGAGGTTGCCGGTCGGCGATCATGTGCGCGATCCATGATGCGGTGAGGGAGGCAGAAGAGGTTGCAATGCACAAGTGCTTACATGTATCTCATAGGTACTGTATCTGAGAAAAGGGAAGAGTGGTTTTCATTGGTATCGCCAAGAGAGGGTGTGCTGTGGTAAAGATACACATGTACTTTGTAGGTATGTTTGTTAGCGATGTGGCACAGTCTTCAGTCTTTTCAGCTTCCAACAGCCTCGACCGACCATAAACTTCAAGCATGAAGAGCTCCAAGTTTATGATGCATCATGTCTGTTGGAAGAGTAACAGGACATCATACATCATGATACATGGAATTTTGAAGACAGTGAGCACTAATCTCGGATAGGCAATCGGAAGTAGAGTCGTATAGAGTCGTAGAATTGGCGATGAGACTTTGTTACTTTGGGTCACAAATAGAAAATGTGACCCGAATCGTCAGAAAGTGACAGGTCATAATACAAGATACAAGGATGATCCTAGGCCCCTGCTTGATCGTCCCGTGCCATCGTTGACGCTAGGGTTTCGGTCCGAATTATTCGCGAGCGAATTATTCGGAATTATTCGCGAATTATATCGTGTTTTATTTTATAACGCGTGTTTTTCGGAACCGGATTATCTATTCGGCAGTAAAAAGATAGGTACCTAGGTACTTAGTACAAAATCACCTGTATCCTGTAATTTTTACTGTGTGGTAAAGTTTCCCGGTGCATCGTATCTATGCATAATAATTCATGAACTCACATTTTGAGCTGAATAACAATGCACAAGCCACTCTGGATTGAATTGCACACTCTGGATTGAATTGCACACTCTGGATTGAATTGCACACTCTGGATTGAATTGCACACTCTGGATTGAATTGCACACTCTGGATTGAATTGCACTCTGGATTGAGTGGGTCAAATATGAAAGCGATCGGGTGGGGTTCTTCCGGTTCCGGCGAATAATTCGGAATTATTCGCGTTTTACAGGGGTTGCGAATTATTCGCGGGTTTTATTATAAAACGCGCGTTTTAGAAACGCTAGTTGACGCTGGGAATTCTCCAACATTTAAGCTGAGCTACGAAGTACTTCGTACATACATGGTATGCAGCTATGTAAGCTAAGCTTGAGCACAGACCAATACTAATGAGCTAGGCGGGACCTTGTTACCCGCGTAGTGGGGTGCTGTCGCTATCTGTACCTGATTGACATCTAAGGATCGCTAACCTAATGTGCTAACGATAAGCAACAACCCCAAATCAATTGAAATCTGACAACGACGACTTTTCCGTCCCAAAACCATGGACGTCGGTTAGAGCTTCGGACGGCAGCCCCCCGTCATTCACTCGACATCCAATGGATCTGATTCACCTTCGAACCAACTCCCACCTTGCCGGTTTATCCCGAAGCCAATATTCCCCCATACAAGCCGAGGAGAAAACGTCCCTGATCCCATGTCGCTCCGCCACGTCGCAATCCCCTCATGGCCATCGGCCCACATAGCGCCTAGGTTTCCGGCCTATGCTATGGCGACCCGCGTCCAGTCTATGCTCCAGGCTGATCTGTTGGCATGGAAGAAGGCTGACCCTGACAAACGGCCCAACCCGCTGCCTCCCACCTTGATCTCCCTCACCCCCGCACCCACCTATACCCGTGGCCGACGGCAGACCGAAGAGCTTCCGTCCGAGGATTGGCGGCGACTACGTGCACCGCTCTTCGTGTCCGGGTCTGGCGACGAACGGTTCTACTTCAAGCCCCACATCCTTACAGCTCCCCGTGGCGGACTCATGACATACCACGGCCCCGGGCAGGTTATGCTCTGGCCCGTCATCGACCTCATTTCACCGCTGCACACGCACTTCAGCGTTCGCGACTACACCAGCCTCCTAGAGCAGACGACCATAGCCACGCTCCGCAAGCTGCACGGGGTCGAGGCGTTCACTACCTCCAACCCGGGCGTGTGGGTGCATCCGCAAGGTGCGGTGGAAGGGACGGAGCACAAGATCGCGGCGCTCGGCGTACACCTCCAACGGCACGTCTCGGGCCTAGGGGTTGCCATCAACGTCGGCATGCCAGTTGCCGGGCCCGAGGATACGAACCCGTGGGCGCGTATAGAAGCCTGTGGATTAGCCGACAAGGGCGTCACTAGTCTGACGGCGCACTTGGGTTTACCTGAACCGTTAGACGGGGCTGACATTGCCCCGGCGTGGGCCGCCGAGTTTGCCGCCCGACTCGGTATACCTGCCGTGGAGCCAGACGACTGGGCGAAATGGGAAAATGGGTTGGATATGTCCGAGCCTTATCTCATGGGGACCGCCAAGGTTTGTAATACTGAATCTGTAGAATCCTAGGTTCACTGTGTCCCAGACTGAACATAGGATAGCGGTGTAGGAACTTGTGTTGCAGTACAAGATCCCATATAAACTTTGTTAATACCTTTTCTAAGTTCGTATGTTCGTCGAACATCACGTACATATAATAATGGTAGATGGCTGGCTTCGTAAATGCCCTCTTTTCCGTCGATGACGATGCAGATTCGACTGATATCTTGAAGAGCTTAACGTCCCTGCCTACAAGCTATCTGGTAAGCTATACTATGAATCTAACCCTAGCCTAGGTAGGTAAGTCAAGGCACGAACGCCATGAACGTGCATGAACAGCGTCACTGCGCCTTCGAATCTCT